AATAAAAAACCGCGGCGCGTAGCGCCGCGCCGCTTGGGGTAGCTTTTGGTACATCAATTTTGGACAATGTGTGAAATTTTTGACCCCAGGTCATGTCAGGTCAGGTCACTAGGTCAAGTTAACCCGGCGGCCGCTGGGCCTCCGCGCCACCCGCCGGCCGCTGGGGGGGGGGGGCATAAAGTTGCCCCCCCTTTACTTCTGCGACGATATCGTCGCAACGCGAAGAGATAGAGAAGCGAAACTTTGCACACATCTTCCTGAATACCTAGCCGAGGTGGTGTACAAATTTGGTGTCGATCCCATTTGAAATGACGTCACAGTGACGTCATAAGTGAAATTATAGATTTGCGACTCTCATATTCCTCACGATACATCACATATATGGGACCGAATATAAAGGGCCGATTATTGGTCAGAAACTAGATGGAAGTGTAGTAAGATGTTTTAGGATGACAGCAGGTGCTGTCTAGTTCATTTACAGTCGAGTTTCATGCTCAGCGTCATCAGAAACGGTCCATATCGGAAAACGACAAAACTTTATGACGTCACTGTGACGTCATCTTAGGTGCTACAACCACCAAACTTTCCTCAAACATTGCCTAGGTATTCATTTGAAGCTATGCCAAGTTTCACGTTCGTAGCTTATCAGGTTTCGGAGATATTTCACAAAACGTAAAGAGGGGGGGGCAACTTTATGCCCCCCCCCCAGCGGCTCGTGGGTTAACTGACCAAGCCTAAAAAAAGTTTGCAATCATGTCCAGCCTGCAGTGTTTGTCAGAGAGGTTTCAAACTTGGTGGATTACATGATGTTATGGGTGCCTACAATTTGTATATCTCGGATTTTTTATATGCGTGACCTAAGGTCAGGTCAGTGGCGTGACCTTTCCATTATAAGTCAATGGAGAAAAACGAAAATGCCTCTAGATCCGTGTGTACGCATAGGAACAGTCCAAATATTTCAGGATAACAATGATTTGGACCACCCGTGACGACCAAGGTGTCTTTTTTGCTGATAGCCTCTTGAAAGGTCATCCGAGGTCATTTGAGGCTACAAACAGTTTTTTGCCAATAACTCTCGATTGGAAAGAGATAGAACGCTGGGGTTGGCCTCATTCTGTTTGTCTTGCCGAGACGCATCGACTGATATGCAACATGACCTTTTCCGGTCAGGTCATGACCTTGACCTGAGGTCAAATTTTGAAGTTGACCTTTCAAGGTCAAATTATAGTTCATTCGACGCGTCTCGGCGAGAGGAACACGATTCTGGCATTAGAAATGACCTAGCTTTTTTTAGTCAAAAGTTATTGTCGAAAAACACTTTTCTTAAAAACAGCTATTTTTGGAGTTTTTGCCCTCTGGAGGCTAAACCGTTGACCTGAGGTCATTTTTCTTGATGACCTTATCAAAAGAAGAGTTCAAAAGCTATCGATTGCTTTTCCCAGCGTTTTTCTAGCTATCATAGTTCCTGAGATAATGGCATGTTTTCTGAAAAATATAATGACAATTCGCAAATTTTGACCTTTGATGACCTCTGGTGACCCCAATATTGCTCTAAGATGAAAAATGACTGAAATACTTTCAAACGTACGCATCAAGAGCTATCGACTGCTTTTTACCGCGTCTTTCTAGCCCTCTTAGTTTTTGAGTTAGAGGTGGGTGGTAACATATGCCCCCCCCCCCCCCACTAGGGCGAAGTTGGCGGAGACCGCCACTGGGGCGCGGGTTAAGACGTCCCAAGATGTAGCCTTGTTACATTAGGCTTACGGACAGCGGAATCGATAGCTGATGCTCGAAACTCACAAAAATGACCTCAAAGACCTAGTGAAGGTACCATGTGCGTATTGGGGTCATACTAAGTACGGGTCAAGGTCAGGTCAGGTCACGAAAGGTCACGGTTTTCACTTTCTGCTACATGGGCGTGCGACACATGTTTTATGGCTTATTTTTCACGCCGAATCCGATGGTAATGGTTATATGTGACCCCAAATCACTGTACTGGTGATAAGTGTGTATTGAAAGCATAAAAAATCGTTTATACCATACATAACTAAACGAGGGCTAAGAAAAAAGTCAATTTTTCAACTTTTTATTTTTGACATAAAAAATGCCTTTTTTAGACGAGCTTTGTCCCAGAAATCTAGTGGTGCCATTTGTTTTCACATGCGATGTTCAGAAGTGCCTCTAATTCACGAAAATGCTTATGACGTCACTATGCCCTATGCATGTTGGAGCTATATTTTACAATTTGGGGGTCAAAAATCAAGATAGAAAGTTGAAATTTAGGACATCTAATGTTCTAATAGAGCTCTATAACATATATTCTGTTTTTTAGAAATTCCAAAAATTTTGGATTTATTAGCTGTTTTCCAAAAAAATATAGTTTTTTGAACTTTTAGGGGAGAAAACGCAATTTATGGAAAATCCGAGATAGCCATTTTAAAGAATTCGTTAAACTGCGTCTATTCATGGCCTTAATTTGCAATTTGCTTTAAACCTCGATTTTTGGCGATTTTTTAAACATTTATCACTTTTTTACTGAAAACGCCATGTAGTTACATCACTAAAATCGATATATCTCAAATTTTTTTGGAAACATTTTCTTAAATATTACACAGGAGAGGTAAAATTGATGGGGGAGACGTTATGCTAAGTTTCAAGTTGATAGCGTAAGCGGTTCATGAGTTATTCAAGAAAAACGGAGGGGGGTCCGGATCCGACCCCCCCCCCCCCCAGGCGGTTGCGGGTTAAAAGCTTAAGACGGCGAAGATATAGCCTGAAGTACACTAAATTTTCTAGTTGCAAAACCTACCTCTAAAACCCGTGAGACCTGTACAAAAAGCTACCCCAAGCGGCGCGGCGCTACGCGCCGCGGTTTTTTATTCACACGCAAAAAACGTGACGGGGTGGTAACATATGCCCCCCCCCCCCACTGGGGCGAAGGATTCAGCGTCTGATGCAGCGCCGCTCACAGTGCTCGTCAGCTCGCGTCGGTTTAGACGTGAAATGGGCATTTAACCGAGAAGTCGTGGTACCTGAGCACCGGACTCTCGCATAAACACCGTCTCAGCGCTTCACAAGACTCCCTACACTCCTCGGTGAATACATAGGGCACGTTCTTCTTCAGTAAGTTCAGTAGGGTCGGCACTGAACGACAGAGAAGCCTGGTCTTACTCGGTTTGTACTTTTAACCCCGTGCTTCTGAGCCAGCTGGAACGTTGGCTTGTAGCCCACGAAGGGTGTTATGAAACCAGCGAGCTTGGCGCACTCAGGCGGCACCCGTATCTGGTAGAAGGCAGAAGCTCTTAGTTATGTCCATCTAGCTCACAAAGCCCGTGTTTCGCCCCAGATCTTCTACTATGCGCTGCATATTAGGCAGCGGGTAACTCGGGGTTTCGGTGAACGAGTTTAGCTTGACGAAGGACTGACAAGACAGGGACGGTCGCAGACTTGGCGTTTGGGGGGGGGGGGGCAATTTGGCAAAGGGCCTCAAAGGGCCCTGTCGACCCTCGGGGGGGGGGGGGCGGTGCTAGCTTGCAGGGGCCCCTTTATTACCATACCGGCCTCAAAGGCCGCTATGGGGCCCCAGAGGCCGATATGGGCCCGCAAAGGCCAGTTCGTGACGCCCAAAGGTAAGTCTTGGGTCCCAGAGAGCAAAATTGGGCCATCAGTGGCCGGTTTAGAGACCTTATAGGCTGGTTGGGGCCTAAAGAGACCAATTCGGGACCCTAGTATGGGTCCTCAAATATCAGTGTGGGGCTCTTAAAGACTGGTGTGGGTCCTCAGAGACCGGCATCGATCCTTCAGAAGCCAGTTCGGGGCCCTCAGAGGCACATAAGGGCCAGTCTTCGGTCTCAAAGACAGAAACTGAGCCATCAGAGGCCGGTGTGTTTAGAGGTCGGTTTGGGGCCTCAGAGACCAGTTTAACCCTCGCATGTGTAGGGGGGGGGGGTCGGATGGACCCCCCCCCATGGTTTTTCGCGAATAACTCGCGCAAAAAGCGACCGATCGCGACGAAACTTTCAGTACCCTCTCATTGATCAATTTTACACCTACCCTGAAAATTTCATGACCCTGACCCAAATGACCTTTGACCTGTGACCTATTTTCCGAGACCATGTTTGGCCGGAATCGCGATTCCGCGTATGTCGGCTCGCATTAGCCGCGCGTTTGCAAGCTTTTCGTGGTTTCAAACGTTCAAACATGTGATTTGATGTTGCTCCCATGCATTAGAATGGGTGTCAAGGTCACCTGAAGGTCAGGTCAGGTCATTGACCTTTGGTGACCTCGGGTGACCTCGGTTCACTTTTTCGAGTTTTACATGTTTCTAGGCTAGTTTTTGGAGCTGAATTCGAATTTAGCAACCATTTGAACATTTACGAAGTAGTTTTGGTGCCTTCGTAACATGTTACGAAGCTGTCAGAGGCGGTTGACACGTACTACGAATACCCGTCACAACCCCTACTGGTTGACCTGACCTGACCTGACTCGACCTGGCCTAAATGCTTAAAGACATCATCTGTGATCAAAACTAACACGATATTCGTGATCAGAGGCCAGTTTTACCAAAAAATACCAGCCGGCCGCCGAAATAAAATATCCAGCCGAAAAAATAGACGCCACACAGCCACGAGTTTCACCAACAAAAAAATTCCAGCCAATATCGGCCGGAAATATTTGTCGCCGGCAGTCAGCTGATATTTTAATATCGATAATGGTCAAGGAGACTGATAAATTATTTAAAACATGTTTCAATTAAAGTTAAGCGTGTTTTTTTAATGCCACTACAACAAAGATTTAGAAATATTATTATTGGAATCCATAACATATATTTTTAAGAGTTGTAACCACAAAATAGACCATAATAAACTTGCCAATACAAGACCACCAAATTGTAAATCTACGTCATTTATGACGGTCACGATAGGAAGCGTGCGTTTTAGTCATAGATATACAGACTAGATAGTAGATAGGGCAGCTGTTTAGCGACGGCATGCAGAGGGCGCCGCCATGTTGGGGCAGCCCTCGGCGGGGCAGCTCTGTGTAAGTGAACGGGAAAATGGGAAAGTTTACGGCACATTTTTTGGTATTTTTAGAGTGAATAGTGTTTGTCTCAGGAGTTCAGCTCATAGATTGAAGCTTGGAGAATGTCAAACGGAGGTTGAATTGTGCTCAACTAGTTTTGATTTAGATATATGAAGATAGAAAGGAGGGAGTGTTACCCGGATGGCGCCATTGTCTGACAGGTATGCTGCTTTGCATTTGAGGGTATTTAAGGGGTTGATAGTACATTTTGTTGGAAAAACATTATGTGGAAGTACAGTAGGATCTCATACCTTTATTTTCTTCCTTATTTACTATATAAACAACAAAAGATCTAGGCATTGAAAAGTGTAGTTTGTGATGCAAAATGCTGGTGCTAAAATGAGTTTTATTGTAGGCCTATGGTAGGTTAAATTATAGCACTATGTCAAATATATCCTCATTTCATATTTAAAAACACTTCAGCTTCTGAAAAGTTACTGTGCGCCAGACAGCAAAGCGCGTCAACACAGTCAGCAAGCCGCACAAGCTGGGGCGACATGTCTGCTTCAGTCCTCTGAAAATCTGCAACAGATATCAGCTGCACTGACTAGCAAGACCTACATTTTTACCACAAGCTTATATATCTTTGCTGTTGATAGGAAATGCTGCAATATAAGACTTGAAATTTAAGTCACATGCTGACTTGCAGTCAGTGACTGCGTTATGTCTCTGAAGACTGACTTATCTGTTCACCATTTTCTTGGAGCAGATATGATATGCTAGTGCAGCAGATCTGCATTTTATGATGTTATGGCCAGCAATGCTCAGCACAAAAATATTTACCTTTCTGCTGCAAATCTAAGCCACCCTGTGCAGCTGATGAGCACCTCTGCACTGGCAATATGTTATCGGCATTGCCGTCTGGGCTGTGGTTGCCAGGTTGGCGCCTTAAAAACAATGGTCTACATATGAAATTCCAAAATTGTGAACCATTTTATAGCCTTACAGATATTGCAATATTTCTCTTGCCATCTAAATGGTTTGAAATACCTAAGTCTTCATTGACCTGGGTTTTAGGAGCAAAGTTGGTAAATGCACATTTCAAACTGAGTACAGCGGTGAGCGAGTAGGAAAATCCTTTCCTGATGCGTAGTTACTTGGTAATGTAGCCCAGGTAATTGACTCAAGAAAATGATCAATTATTGTATCTATCTTTCAGGTTCAGTTATATGTGCAAGTCACAAGTACTCAAAAAGGCTGCAAGATGCCTAGCTAGCAACTGCTCCAACCAGTTTGAAGGAAGAAGGGGTGTGTTTCTCCACAGGTAAATAGAAGATTTCTTTTTCAGTTAAGTCTGAGAGGATGTTTTAGAAATGGATATAAATTGCAGTTAGTATTGTTCTTTGTGTTTTGTCATTTGTGATATAGTCTCTGTTCATGTTTTAATGTGGATACATCACAATCCATAACAACAGTTGGCCATAAGGACAATTGATTAAACAATGGTCTGTTAAGACCTCAGTAGCATCAAGATGCAGTGAATATAAATGTATAGTTACAAAGGGTATTTCATTTGAACAAACCTCCACCCAGCCCCTTGTTACCAGTTATTCAACACATTAACAGATGCCTGTCATTTTTTCACTTTCTAGGTTTCCTCCAGACCCAGGTGTGTACAGCGAAAGGACTGGCGCATTCAGGTGAAGATGGACTGGCGGCAACATGTGTCGGAAGGGGGCAAGCTTGGTCATGCGGCACACTTCATGATGAGGGCTCCTTCGATTGCACAGACCAGTTTGGCTGTGCTATGGTGCAGTCCCATCAGGTCTTTCTTCCCTGCTCACCTGCAGGTGAGTGGCATATAGTTGTGCAAGGTGAGCAGAGTCCACTGCTGTGTCATTGCTAACATGTGAAAGCAGCCCATGATCTGTTTATACTGTTACAACATACCATACCAACTTTGAGCACAATCATTCCAGATGTTTGTGAGAAATAGATACGTGTTCTGCACATGTACAATTGTGTACACATACAATACCTAGTATGCCTCAAGTGATTGCTTAAACTTATAAGGCACTCATCAGATTGGTCTCCAACCAGTGTCCCAATTTTGTATGCAATGCATCCTGCCATTCTGGAGTCATAAAAATACCCAGCACGCGCTTGCACCCAAACCACATTTCTCATTGCATTGCCAAGGGAAGTGGGTGCCCAACAACACACAAAGTTTCATCAAAATGTGTCCAGGCATTAAATAGGAGTTACTGCAAACAGAACAGGTTTGGCACCGATGATTTAGTAAGTGCCTGGTGGAATGTGCCGAGTTGACTCCCCAAATGCTTGTTGACTCCCCAAAAACAATGCGTAATTTCAAGGAAGAATGGCTAAGCTACACAACATGATAACTCTTCGCTAAACAGCATGTATGGCTGCAAAGATATGGGCCTCTCTAGAATGCTTGATACCAAGTTTGACAGTTCATACTCTTTTAACCCGATATTTTTTGAAGTTACATCAAGATTTTTCGATAATCAATCTCATTTCTTTCTCGCTCATAAATATTTGCATTCCATGGACCATGATTGATCGCCTCATGTGTGAATGTGTGTGAACATGTCAGTGTGTGCATGTCATTGTCGAGTCCGCTCATCGCCCTATCCCTATAGGAGAACTAAGAAGTAGGCATGATTGGTTGTTTTTATTTTCCTCAGGACCATTTCAATAGCTGCCAGAGCAGCGGGGGCTGAAGCAAAGGCTAGAGAAAGCTGCGACTAGGACGTTGGCCTGTTCCAAGCAGTCTCGAAACGCACACAAGAACGGGAAAATGTCGATCCGGACAGCACGCCCCAGGGAGCGTCACTCGTCAGAGGCGGTCTCGACGGGCAGGCTGGGCGGTGCCCAGGGAGCAGCGTCACCCGTCTGTGGCTGCCCCGATGGTCAGGCCGGGCGGCACTCCGGCAGCAGCTGCATCTGTCTGTAGCGGCCCCGACAGCAGGCCGGGCGGCACCTTGGGAGCAGTGGCACACGTTTATGTGTGGGGTGGCCCCGACGGCAGACCGGGCAACAGAGGCAGTCTACAGGGAATAGCGGCACCCGTCTATGGTGGCCCCGACGGCAGGTCGGACACCGAGGCGGCTCCCAGGGAGCAGCGGCACCCGTCTGTGGCGGCATCGACGGCAGGACGGGCGGTGCTGATGTAGTAGCGTCTAATTTGCTGATAAACGTTAGCGATATAGGCATTATCCTAGTCACCATGCTCAGGCGCGTCGATGATATGCTTGTGCTAGGATAAGTTCAACCTAGAATTCTGACCTTACGTCACGTTGATCTAAGAGGGCCGTATAGCTCATTTCGATTTTGACGGTCTTCAGTCCATTGGTGACTGTCCCGACTCGCCAGCTCAATTTAATCGAATGATTTACCTAAAACTCCGACTCTGGCTTTGTGACGTAATCTATGTCGCTAAAGTAAACGGTGCAAAAGTTAAAAATTGGTTTACAAGATGTGTAATGTGTATTATCTCATGGTTTCGTGCGTTTGCATAATCTTCAATCATTTTCGGCACCAAAATAGCAGTTACCACCTTTCCCCATTGACTTGTGATGGCGATGTCACGTGACCGACCTGACCTCAGGTGACCATCAGGAAAAATATTAGATATACAAGCTATAAGGCCTCTGGAGGGTACAAGGTTCTGTTAGTTTGATCTCCCTGTGAAAGCTCCTCTGGCACTGAAGGCATTGCGAAGTTGCGGCATGTCATGACCGCGCGGTGGCTCTATTATGACGTCATAGGTCAGTGACCGGGCATGACCTGAAAGGGTGATTAGTGTCATAAGATCCGGATTTAATGAAAGGTCAGTTGTACCAACTTTCAGCTCTCTGAGGCCAGCGTGTACCGAACAAGCACGAGTAAACCGTATGGGAACAAGGGGTGACTAATCCCTCGCTGCGGTACGGTACGATGATGAAAAATTGATTTCAAATACATTTGGTGAGGCTATAGGCTCTAACTAATCATTTCATAACCATACTGGCCATCTGCAGCCTCCCAATAACTCAAAAATTGGTTTGGAAAACGGGCTCGAAACCGCTCCACCCCCATTCACTTTACGTGCTGTAGCCAATGCGTGTCTATGTAGACGGCTGCCCCAACATGGCCGCCTGACCTACATGTTCGCTAGTATGGGGAGCCAATGGGCGTGTCCTATCTAGTCTGTATATCTATGGTTTTAGTGGATCTTTTTTTCCTGTCAGCCTATTATATTTCATTTTTACAATACCTTTAACTTGCAATTAACCTTTTTGCCTGCTTTTAGTCGCACCTTGTAGAAAATAATCGTGTCGAACGTGCACGCAATGTATGGACCCCCACTCCCACCTTTTATGAGGTGGGGACTATAATAGATGGGACCCGCTCCCGACGGATCCGGGAGTCGCATCTCTTTCCTAGATGTCAAAAGAGTGGGGAAGAAGCGGCAAACATTGTTCCCAGAGGCGCCACCTGAAGCTGGACGGACAGTTCCGCTGCCGAGCGAGTGAACTGCGGTGCTGCGAGGCGGCTTCGCGCGCACTGCATTACACCTACTTCTAGGACCAAGAGGGCTAAGGATTCGCCAAGGCCTATATAAAGCCTTGTGCCAAGGCGAGTGTCATACCTGAGGAAGATACCTACCCAGATTAACTGCACCGCGGTCATTGCAGGGCTGAGGGCGGTCGTTCGCCCCACTTCGGCGAGGTGGAGGTCATGCTGCCCGGCTAGGTGGTTTCAGCCGATATGCAGGCGCCGTTTGCCGGGCCCGGTCAAGACGAAGGAACGCCACACAGCAAACAATATAAGCTCCGGCCCCGCTACACTGGTCCGGCTCGTAACAATACCTGCGCTAGCTTCGTCGACCGTCGTTCGACTGCGCCCAGTACCGCTCAGTGGAGAGTCCTGCCGAACTCATCCACGTGTGCCGAGATCATTCGTTGCGCACGGACACAATCGTCCGACGGAGACCGCTTTACATGATAATCGCGTGGTGACCACCTTTTCGCCGGCTTCCACGCCCAGTCGAGCCGTCTGGCTACGCCCCAACCAAATGATCGTTCGACTGGTTTGCAAAACTCGGGTCTAATATCGAAGTATTTGGGAGTTAGGACACGTTAAATCCGTGTTCATGAACAAATATACATTATGCAACTAAAAACGCCTTACTTACTTTAACTTTTCTAGGCTGATGACAAGGTAAACACCTATTCATTGTAATATTTCTAAAATGTAGATAAATCATGAGCGATGAGCGTAAAAAGGTGAAAAAAAGCGATCAACTAGAAGCTAGTGTGGAAATCCACTGACGTAGGTCGCCTCGTGCTGGCGCAGCTCGTACAGCGGCACCGGCGTCTCCCGCACCCGGCCGTCCGCCTTGCCCGCCTGCGCCATCAGCCGCTGGAAATGGCTGCGCTGCCGCTCAAACATTAGCGTGACCGCCCGGCCGGCCCGGCTGACGCGCGCCGTCCGACGCACGCAGTGTGCCTTCAACAGCGCCGGGATGTCGTACGACACGACCGCGTCCACGGCGTCCACGTCAATACCGCGCGCCATAGCCTCGAGCACACCAGCGCGGCCATCTCAGCTAGCGCGCGCCGCCGCTGGCCCGCCGGCACTGCCCCAGGGAACTCGGCCTCGCGCGCGCCCAGCACCGACAGCGGTAGCTCCAGCTGGTGCGCCGCCTCGTTCCAGTTGACCAACACGAGCGAGCGCCGCCAGTCGGGCTGTCGGAGCAAACTGTGCATCAGCAGCGGCTTCTGCGGCTGCGGCGCCACCACGTTGAACGACTCGCTCAGCTCGGCCGGCGTGGTGAACCTGCCGACGAACTGACCGGGCAGTGCGACGGCGGCGGCCGCCCAGCAGTCGCGGCTGGAACAGCGACATTCGCTCCAGCTTCTCCGGCCTCCGGGTTCTGTGACAGGGTGGCCAAGAACGGCAGCTTCTGCAGCGGCAGGTGAGGCGCGCAGACGGCGGCGGCCGTCAGCCGGCCGGCGATGCAGGGCGGCGGGCCGTGGCCGCCGCCACCCGCTCCACCGCTTTCAGCCAGCCCGTCTCGGCCATCTCGATCACCCGGTCGGCTTCGTCGATCACCAGGTAGCGCAGGTGCGCTAGCGAGAAGCCCTCGGCGCTGGTTATGTGATCCATCAGCCAGCCGGGAGTGCTCACCACGATCAGCCGGGGAGACCGGGCCGCGCGGCCCCACCGCCACCAGTTGGTGCCCCCCTCGTGCCACTGTGTCTCCACCCAGCAGCCGGACGCAGAGCGGCGTGTCGGCGTCGTACTGGCGGAACACGGCGGGCACCTGAGCGGGCAGCGCCTGTGTGGGTAGCACAGCTAGCGCGCGCACCCGGCGGCCGGCGCACCGCGGCGCCGCGCCTGCACCAGTAGCAGCGCGAGCGCCAGCGTCTTACCGCGGCCGGCCGGCGCCGAGACGCAGAGGTCGGCCGGTGGCAGCGGCGACTCTGCGGCCGCCAGCAGCTCGGGCAGCACCGTCACCTGCACCAGGAACGGCAGATTGGCCGGCGCCGGCCGCCGGTCGCCAATCGGCTGCGGGTGCGCCAGCCAGTCGGGCAGCGCACGCGGTGCACGGCCTGTCGGCTCGAGCGCTCCACCTCGTCCAGCACGGTGAAGTCGTCCGCGGCGGCGTCTCCGTCCGACTCGGAGGTGTCCTCACTGTCGTTATTGGCGACGGCGGCTGCCGCTGTGCGCTCAGTCAGGTCGGCCATCATAGCAACACTCGCCGATGATTGGCGTCATCGAAACCGTCGGACGACGGTGGATTCACCACCGTTTTTGCAGCAGAGACTGGAAAAAACTCAGCAATAAACAAGGAAAAACTTCACAACATGCCACAGCCTGCAATTGTGCATATTTTCATTATATTTCTCACATGACAGAAAATATTGGCTGCTTTATTCTAGGAACTGGCATGAAAACATAAGCAAAAATCAAGCTAAGTGAATTATTATTGTATTTCAACATGAGACTGGGAAAAAATCCTTGTCACTGTCAACATGACCAGTGTAACGGACGGGCTGCATGAACATTTCGGCGCATGATCTGAAAACTCTGTGTGCAGTAATTTCAGCGCTGAGGTGAACGACTAACATTTTGGCCGCAATTTGCCTGGTGCCTCCACAATTTAGCAAAACTAACTCACAATACTTACAGCCAGTTTTAACATGACCCCTGCATGACTCATGCATGCAACATACACATGCATTCAATATCAGCACAGTGCACACAACAGTTATGGATTCATTTACATTTTACAACAATACTATTATTTTCTTTTCCTTCAATATTGGCAGCATGACTTGCTGAGTTCAGTGGCACAATCTTATGACAGCATTCAGCAAGTTTGTTCGGATTCGCAACCATGCAAACTTTGCACGTTTTGCTTAAAAAAGAAGCCTTTATACATTTTTTTCATGCTATTCAATTTCTTTTTTAAATTTATTGTCATTTATCTTGAAAATCTTGCCATTTTGGTCTTAGCAATGTCAATGCACCTTCCCTATTCCGCACAGCTCAAGAAGTTCCACCCAAAAGTAGTAGTGTAGTGCCATTAGTAGCTGGCGCCTTGCAATGTCAAATGTAGCTGAATATGTGAAAACAGGGACATATTTATTTAAAATCTTGAGTCCAATGAGCCTACCCTCTCTGCCTCTCCGGTATATGTCAAGTTTAGGTCCTAACTACAATTGTGGCGCTTTTGATACGAATATGAAACAGCAAAAATTTTAGGTTTTAGGTTAGGTTAGGTTGTAGGTTTGTAGGTTTTAGGTTGTAGGTAAGTAGGTTTGTAGGTTAGGTTAGGTTAGGGTAGGTTTGTAGGTGGTAGGTTGGTAGGTTATAGGTAAGTAGGTAAGGTTAGGTCAGGTTTGATTATGTTTTTTTCTTTTATTTGCGAGACATATGAGTATCATTTTTGGATTCAGGATGTCAAATAATGTTAAAATATGAAAAATTTATCAATGAAATCTTCTTAGGACTTAAACTTGACATTTACCGCCTCTCCTTCCAGCATATTGATATCTTCAAGCACCTTCGATTTTCGAAAATGATCTTCCATCATTATTTTCCACTTCCGTGCGAGCAATGAACTTGTAAGCTGACCACTAGTTAATGCGCTATCATCTTCCTGTTGGGTGCTTGTAGCAAAAAAATAATATAAAACGAAAAAACTAACACCACAACACCAAACACCCGTCTTGTTGGTTCCTTTTGGTCCTGCCTGGTGACAAAGGCTCTTTCTTTACGCAATATCATCAGTATTCCTCTTCTAATCTTGAAGCCCAGATGCTTTACAAATTGGCCATGAATGATACTAAATTATTATATCAACTGAGAAGCGCAAATCACGATAATTAGTAACAAATGGGGCCAATTATTCCAACACGACATCAAAAAAATAGACGGGGTCGCCTGTCTATTTTTTTGGGCTGTTTTTCTACATATAATGGCGCAGATAAACACTCCATTAATGCCGCATTTGCCGTTGGTGAAACTCGTTGGCTATTTTTCTGGCTGATATTTTTTCACGCCGGCGGATATTTTTTCGCCTGGTTGGTGAAACTCGTCGGCGGGTTTTTGACAGAAAAATTGCGCCGGGCTGCTATTTTTCTGTTGGTAAAACTGGCCTCAGCACCCCGAAAAACCCCTTAGCAGCCACAATTTACGACTTTCTAATAGGTCCCGATTTTCCCGACTTTGGGTCATTGACCTGACCTGGAAGGTCAACCAATGACCTAGGACCTTAAAATTGGGTATCATCGGCTTCCTCTCGTCACGGGCAACACGCTCGTTTTTTCCGCGAAGCTCTAGCTCGATCAGGGGCCAAACGGCAAGGGGGGGGGGGTCCAACCGACCCCCCCCCTACACATTAGAAGCTGGCAAACGCCGCACACATGCGAGGGTTAAGACACTCAGAGACCAGTATAGGGCCTAATGGCAGTTTGAGACCACCAGAGGCCGACTTGGGCTCTTAGAGGCTAATGTGGGTCCTTACTGGCAAGCATGGAACCCTCAGGGATCAGTGCGGGGCCCTAAAAAACGGCGTGGGCTGGCGTTGAACCCCAGA